TTCAATCCACCATGTCTGAAGTCCTTCATTTCTAAGTGCCAGCTAGGTATCACCATCACCATGTCACCCTAACACCTCACACTCTGCACTTCCAGAACTCACTCCTCCATTGCACTCATAAGCCTTTTCAGAGCTCCCTGTTTCTGTGGAAAGCACCACCACCTTCCCACTCACCAGTCATCCTGAAGTCCTCCTTCCTCATCCCCAACATCTCTTCCTATCTCCAGGACCTTTGATTCTTTCTCCATTCCTATTCAGAAGACCTTCAACTATTCTAGGGGATAACAGGCATCCCTATCTCTGGTCTTCCTGCTCCAATTCCATCAAATTATCTTTTCAGAGCATAGCTCTGAATGTGGAACAAAACTCAAAACCATAAAAAAAAAAATAAAAATAAAAAAAGACTAGGCATAGTGGACTGACAGAGACTGGTGGAAGCCCCAGACTATGGCCTTTAGAAAGCCTTCAGGCCTGGAAATAAACTCAGCCCAAAGCCTCAACCTTCAGCCAAACAATAAACAGGCCTATAAGGTGAACAATAACACCAGGGAGGTACACACTCATTAGAACAATCAACCATACAAGATCAACAGGACAGTATTTGCCCAGGGATAAAGCTCAGAAAGCAGGAAGGGATAGGAAAGAAGGATGAAGGGAAACGGTAAATGCAGGCAGGAAGTGGCAAGAGTGCAGTTACATTGTAGGGATTGCAATCAATGTCACGAAACAGAATGTGCATGAATTAGGTATCATCTAATCCCAACATTAACAGCAAAATTCAAAAAAACAGAAAACAACAAATGTTGGCAAGGGTGTGGAAGGCAGTGTATGCAACACTCATACACTGGTTGTGAGACTGTAAGATGGTACAACCACTGGGGAAAACAGTATGGTGCTTCCTTAAGAAGTTGGAAATAGAAATACTATATAATCCAGCAATCCCACTACTAGGTATATATTCTATAGAAATAAGAGCTGTGATACAAACAGATATATGCACACCCACGTTCATCACAGCATTATTCACAATAGCAAAAGGATGGAAACAACCTAAGTGACCTTCAACAGACAAATGGATAAACAAACTATGGTACATGCTCATAATGGAATACTATGCAACATTAAACAAAAATGATGAATCTGCAAAACATCTCACAATATGGCTGAACCTAGAAGACATTATGCTGAGTGAAATCAGTCATTTACAAAAGGACAATTATTTTATGAGAACACTATTGCAAAATGTTACAGTTTATACACCGAAAGAATTGTTCTTTCAGGGATGGAAGAGGAAAGGAGGGACGATCACCAACTAGAGGGTGGACACGTATTAACTTGGGTGAGGGGAAAGGCAATGTACAATAAGGGTGAGGCCAGCACAAAATCATCAAGGCAGTGGATGGCACGGGGAAGAGCACAACAGTTAATGGTAACAAAGGTGAATACATACACACTCCTGCAATAATGGTAATGACAATAATTTAGGAGTGGATGCAAAGATAGACACTCCATCTGAAGAGGGGTGAGAAGGTGAGTGGGACTATACCCACTTGTATACATAGGTTTGACAGAGATTATCTCTACCTATGTACTTGTATGTGCTGCAAATGTATTTGTGACTGTAGTACAGCATACAGTGGGCAAAGTTAAGAAAACGTCTTAGTCATCACCAAACACTTTGTGGGAATGAGTCACTGGATATGAAGGCTCAGGACCATAGTCTTAGGGGACACTAAGGTCAATTAGCCTAACACATTCCACAAGGTTCTACATCCTAATTTGGTGAGTAGCAACTGGAGTCTTAAAAGCTCATGAGCAGCCATCTAAGGTACAACTATTGGTCTCTCCCTGTCCAGAGCAAAGAAGAATAAAGAAAAACAAAGACACAGGAAATGATTAGTCCAAAGGACTAATGGGACATGTGAACCCAAACCTCCATGACCCTGAGACCAGAAGAACTAGATGGTACCCAGCTACCACTGCTGACCACTCTTAAGGGATCACAATAAGAGGTCCCAGATAGAGTGGGGGGAAAATGTGGAACAAAACTCAAAATCACGAAAAAAAGACCAAAGTCTGATGAAGATTGGTGGAACCCCTGAGACTATGGCCCTTAGACACCCTTCAAACTAGGAACGGAACGTAACACCCTGTGACTCAAGTGGCAGCCAAACAAGAGACAGGTCTATAAGGTGAACAGTAATATCAGGAGGGTATGTACTCATCAGAACAATCAAGCATAGGAGATCAAGAGGACAGCTTTTGCCCAGAGATGGAGCTAGGAAGGCAGGAGATGAGAAGGAAGAATGATGGGAAGGGTGGATATAAGGAGGAAGTGGGAAGAATGCTGTTACAGTGTGGGAATTGCAGTAAATGTCACAAAAGAAAATGTGTATGGATTGTTGAATGGAAAACCAATTTGTTCTGTAAACTTTCACCCAAATCACAATAAAAAGCAAAAACAAAAAACAAAACATAGCTCTGGCCATGGCACTTGCTCCTCTAGCCATAAACCTTGAATCATCATGAAACCAAAGAATGGCTTTATCTCAACTTCTGGATGAGACTCTATCACAACTATCTTCATCAAGTTGCTTTGTAAATTTCTACTTATTTCTCACAAAATTAAGTTCCACCATCCTAGGTCCTTCATGATCTACCTCCATCTGCTGCAACCAAACATACCTACTCAATGACTGCCGTACAGCCGCTTTTCCCTTCTCCACTCTCATGGTTCTCTTTACCTAGAACATCATTCTACCACCCTAACTAGGAATCATTGGGCCATGGTAAAATTATATTTCACTTTTTAAGAAACTTCAAACTGTTTTCCAAAAAGTTTGTACCACTTCATATTCTCACCAACAACATAGTACTATTCCAGTTTATTCATACTTTCACCAACATTTGTTATTGTCTGTCTTTTTCATTATAGGCAATCTAATGTGTGAAGCAGTACCTCAATGTCGTTTTGATTTGTTATTTCCCTAATGAATAATGATAGGAGCTCTGGTAGTACAGTGGTAAAAAGCATCAACTGCTAACCAGAATGTCATATGCTGAAACCCACCAGCCATTCCATGGGAGAAAGATGTGGCAGTTTGCTTCCGTAAAAATTATAGCCTTGGAAACCCTACGGGGCAGTCCTATTCTGTCCTAGTCAAAATGAACTCAATGATAGGTTTTTGGAAAGGGGGCAGAGACTGACTGGGCAAGGTAGAAGGGAACTCACTAAAGGTGATGTAATGCTCTATACATTCAAAGAGGTATGGGTCACAGAGTGTATGTATCTGTCAAAACTCATCAAACTGTAACACTTAAGATGTGTGCATTTAAAACTGCATTTCCTTTATAGTTGAAGTAGGTAAGATAGAAATGGCTATTTTCCTATAAATCACCATAACACTGCTTACCATCTTTACTTTAGAACTCATTACCAATTTGGTTTCAGTGACACCACAGTTAGTTTCCCTTCTAATCTCAGACTGCTCTAACCTCCTTTCATGTTTCTGTAGTCTAATCTTGGTCCTACCTTCCTTCTCCTCGGAAGGAAAGTTGGGCAATCTACTTCCCTATCGATACTGCCTCAGAAACTCAAGGAGGGGTCGCTGTGAGTCGGGTCCAACTCGACGGCACATAACAACAACCTTCTTTCTCTATACACTCTCTCTGGGTGAGCTCTTCTCTACCACAAATTCTATTACCACACATAAGCTAAAGACATACAGATCTCTCTACTGAACTCCATATTTATAATCCAGCTTATACTAGACATTAATAATTACAAGCTCGATGTGTATAAACCTAGATCCTTTCACCCTATCCCTCAAAAAAAAAAAAAAAAATCATAAAACCACCTAAAAAAATAAAAGTAAGAGAATTGCCCTTCTTATTGTAGATAATAGCACATCTAATCTTAGATTGAGATCATTTCTTAAGCATACCTGGGCCCCTTGTTATTCCAGGTATTTTCCAACTGCTAGTCAGTCCACACACACACACACACACACACACACACACCATAGTAAATTTAGTAATACCTACTAAAACTGCCCTAGGAGCTCTGGTAGCACAGTGTCTAAGGCACTTGACTGCTAACCAGAAGGCTAGCGGTTCAAACCCACCAGCCACTCCTCGGAAGGCAGGTTGGGTAATCTACTTCCGTAATGATACTGCCTCGGCAACCCAAGGAGGGGTCGCTATGAGTCGGGGCCGACTCCACGCACCCAACAACAACAAAACTGCCCTAGATGAAACTGAGCTCACAATAAATGAAGTAACTTAGGCAAGGTCGCATAATGAAAGCAGCAGAGCCAGGAATTGAGCCTAAAATCTATCTGGGACTCTAAAATCCCTCATCTCCACACTACTCAGCCTGAACTTCAATTGGCAGAAATAAATGGCCTTTTTTGACCTTCCAATTAATGGGGATCCTTCAATGATTTCACAGTTGGAAAACTGTGTGCTCGTTCCCTGTAACTGCCTAGTACCCTAAACATTTGAAGGAACAAGGTAAGACTCTTAACCCAGATCGTACTGCCTGCCATTGGCCCTACGCCTTCCATCCACTCCGCTCTCAATCTTATGCTTAAGTAAGGCTGTGGCACCAGGGTGACAATGGGGCGTTGGAGAGCCCGAAAAGCTGGACCTTCTGGGAAAGAGGGGCAAGATGGAACGTCAGCCTCTGTCAGGTCACATTCTGGTCCCTGCTGATCCGACAAGCCATCTGGCTTAGACAAACAACGACCCCGAGGGTCACCTTGACCCTTGCCGAATACGAAACCCATCTTCCGCGCAGGACCAGCCCCGTCGGGGCAACAACTCTAGGAAGAAGAGTCTGGATGACTGCAGCAAGCCGATGTGGAAAAACGCCAAGGATAACGGGATAAATTAACAGAAACGCGGGCAGACGCTTCCCAGCCTCCAGCTCCGCGACTCTCTGGAGCAGACGGCTCAAGCCGCCAGTTTTCTTGTCGAAGCCTGCCCAGCTCGACCCGTACCTGCGGGGTATAGGCATCAGAAGCCCAAGTTCCTGTCAACTTCTGCGTGAAGCCACTGAACTTGTAATACATGATGCCCGGTGTCCCGCTTCCCGCAACCGCTGCCTGCGCGACAGTCCCAGAAAAGGACCCCGCCTCCCCGGCGGTCTCCCCAAGGCTCAGTCCAAGGACCCTGCTCCAAGAGACAGGCTGCCCAGAGACCGCCTAATTTAAACCATGGCTTCTTAAGCCATATCAAGGACAGAGAATTCGGGTTCCCAAGACCAAAAAAGGCTAAACCAACTCTAGAACAGCTAGGAAAGCTGCTGTATCTGAAACTGCAGAAAATACGAGACACACACTTCGGGCAGTGCTGAGACGCCTTAAGCAATGCGCAAGCGCTCCGCGGACTGAGCCTGGGCGCTGAGGTACTCGGCCGAGTCGGAAGGGGCGGTCTCTGGGAGGGGCCTGGTGCTGGAGGGGCGGGGCGAGGGGCAGGGCCGTGGACTGGACCGCAAGGCAGGAAAGGAGGGGCTATGCAGAGGCGGAGTTGAGGCAAGACTGGCGTGGAGTGAGAACTCCTTCAAGCGGTAAGAGCCTGTGCTGTGAGGCCAATGCTGGTTGAGCTGACAGCTTTATTTCCTTTATTAAACTTTATTGCATGTAGTCTCATTTATTTCTTCCCCGACGTAGACCACCTCTTAAGGAGCTCCACTCTTACTCAATTTGCCCAGGAGTATTGATCCCGTATCCGGGTTCCTATGACAACCTGGGAATGGGACCAAGTAAGTAAATTTGAAAGCACCTGCGGAAGGCTGTAGAGTGCTAAGGACTATTGTTGTTGTTTGTTGTTAAGTGCCCTCGAGTCATTTCCGACTCACAGCGACCCATGCACAGCAGAACGAAACACTGCCCGATCCCGCGCCAGCCCCACAATCCCTGCTATACTTGAGCCCATCATCGCAGCCACCGTAT